GAAGACATGGATAGTGATTGTTTCTCTCCCAGGTAGTTGACAATTTTTGTGACTTGCCATATGTTGATCCTACTTAACATTTCTATCCTCCATAGGAGCCGACAGCATCTTCAGAACAGAGAACTCTCTCTTGAGTCTCTTACACTGCCTGCTTTGTGTGCGTGTGTGTGTGTTTCACCACTTCAGGAGAAGCAGAAGCAAAAAAATGCTGCTGCTGAAGAGAGCCAATTTTCCCTGCTTCCTAATAGGGCTATAATTTCTAATCCCACCCATTACAAATTTAAGAAGTCCCATATGATGACCAGATAATTCTACTGGAATTATCCAGTAGATATTCACATTTTGCAGAGGCTTCTTCTTTGCAGATGTCTGCAAAACAGTCCGCCTGAGAGAAAAAATGTGTTTTGTTTTCCTTAATAGGATATTTGTTTGTAAATATATTTATTTGCTTTAAAATGGTGTGAGGTAAGCACTTTTGACTGCAGAAAGGAATCATTAGGGTCTATTAGGTTCAGACTATTTAGCTCAGTAATGAAATTAAATATAATTGTATGTTCTTCGAGACTCTTGTGTCCTGCAGCTAAAGAGGGTAGGCAAAGATGTATAAAAACCATGCCATTATGATACTTAACCTATTATCGTGGTAAATAAAAATGAAATGACCCTGCTCAAGGGCCTCTTTTCCAGAAGCAGACAACCTATCTGTAGGCTACAGTATTTTTGCCATAAGGCAATGGCAGAGGTGATGCAATAAGCCAGCCCTATAGTGATGTGCGAAAGAGAGGTTTACCAAAATAAGAACAATAAGCCTACTAATTGGTTTAATGAAACTGTTTTTCTTCTGTCTTTACCGAATAGAAGTTTATGCTACAGTAATGGCCAAAATTATGGAAACCTTTTGGGAAAAGTGTATTTTCTAAAACTAGCTAATAGCACTACTTTTTGGGGGGAGTAGTACCATAAAATTATATAATCAATGGAAAGATAATTTAATCAAGAATATAATGCAATAACTTTTATGAAGGATTTGCTATTAGAATAGCAGTTACAGTATAAAGAAGAAAAGTGAAACACTTAGAAAAAACAAGTTATACAAAAATTATCACCATATAAAAAATGAGATATACAAAAATTATCACGTCCATTAATACTTAGTTGGGTAACCTTTACCATGAATTACGGCCTTACAACATCTTCCCATGGAGTGAACCAAGTCTTTTAGTTCTGCAGCTGTTATAATGTGAAACCAAGATTGAATGATTGCTTCTATTAACTGGGTTTTATTGCTGGGTCACTTATGACTAACAAGTTTATTTAGTCAGCTCCATAGATTTTCAATTGGGTTAAGGCAGTGGTGGGATTCAGCCAGTTCACATCACTTTGGGAGAACCGGTTGTTAACTTTCTGAGCAGTTTGGTGAACTGGTTGTTGGAAGAAATCATTAGGGCAGAGAACCGATTGTTAAATTACTTGAATCCCACCACTGGGTTAAGATCTGGGCTATTCCCAGACCATTACAGCAGTGGAACGTGATTATCTTGAAACTCCCCCCAAAAAGTGGTGTTATTAGCCATCAAACCTCAAAAATACACTTTTCCCAAAAGGTTTCCACAACCGCAATTTTGGCCACTACCGCAATTTGATACCATATTTAACAGCCTTTAATTGGATTATTGGAATGCAAAACAGGCAGAGGCCATTGATAGAGCACAAGTTGCTTACCCCTACTCTTAAGAGAATGTAAATCAGTTTGACTTAATTTTCTCCGTTTTTATAGTTCCAAATGACTGCATTGTGGAAAGTGTGAGCCCCATCACATGTATATTTTTTAACTTCAAAGTATAGCACTAAAATCTATGACAAAATTAAGGTACAGGGATAATACTGAGTTGCTTGTTAGGCTATGTGAAAGTGAATCCTCCAGTAATGTAATCAGTATCATTTTGCCATGCATGAGAAATCTAAAAACCATGTCCATGTATCATAGAAATTATATTGCTATAATTAGCAAATAATTGACATAATTGATTGAGTTGGAAGGCTACAAAGCATTCGTAGGAAAGCTACAATCAGGTTCTGCAAGAAACTTAGCTTTAGAATCCAGCTAAAATTGAGTGAAATGCATTGGTTCAATTGTTTAGAGCTGAAAGTTCTATCACTTGTCTTAGACAACCATGTGTCAATTCGTGTAAATGAAATAAATGGAAAGAAAGGAATAGAAGCTTATAAGTGTCAGGCACAAGACACCATGAGCCAGGCTAGAGTTCAAAAGCATTGCAAGTTTATTCCATGCAACTTGAGAAACTGAACTCCTAATAGTTAGTGTGAATTAGCACCAGATAAGAGTCAATGGATTTCAAGGGGATCTGGGCTTAGGTAGGGACTCCAGACTAATAATGCATTTGACTATACCCATGGGCTCAGCCTAGTCATCTCCTACATTCCGTGAGACATAACGTCCGATTTGCTGAAATATTTTTTAGTATTTAAACGAGCACCTTATTCCTTCAATATCTGAGGTATTCAATATCTGAGGTGGGCACCTGTATAAATTTGATTAATAAATAAAATGATATAACAAATTATGTAATCACAAAACTAATATTTACCTTCAAAAATCCAAAGTAGTGTTACTTTTATTTAGTTAGTAGTAGTTGTTTTTCCTGTTAAAGTGTTGACAGTATAGTTTAGCTGTTAACAATTGGACTGTAGGGAATTCTGTCCTGATGTGTTCTTCCCTCTAATCTAATTTGGAAAAGATTAGTAGAAATTATAGTAACAGAAACATTTCAGCTTGCCATAAAGCTATTAAAAACATATTTATTTTTATCAAATTATAGGCTGCCTATCTTACTACCCAAAACTCATGTCAGGCTTTTGTGCTGATCAGTTCCTTGCAATGTTATACCTATTGAAAGGCATTAGTTACTGGAATCATTGATGCACAATATTTTGATCAATTAAAATGTCTACTCAAAGATAAGTACTTAAAAATACCACATATTGAAATATTGTGTTGCAAGATATTTGAATGTGCATTAGTCAACCATATCTACAATTCAACTTCAAATTCCTGTTTAGAATGACTGCATTTCATGCACACACACAGACATACACACAAAGGGGAAATTGTCATCCTTATCCTTAAAGATAAATTGGAGTGGATAGGGTTGAAAATTTCAAAAGTCACTTGTCAAGAAATAAAGAATATTCATTTGATAATAAATGAATGAAACGAGTATCTATCTTTGGCAAAATAGTTTACAACAATTTCTTTGGCAGGAGTATTCTGTGATTTCCTATTGAGAATATACCTAAAAGCAAGATGTCAAGATGGTCAGATAAGAATAGTTTAGTTGATGCTAAAAAAAATAAATAATAATTATTTTCCAAATTAACCATCATGTATACAGTACAATCTTATATTTTTTATTGTATTTTACCTTTATACCAACGGACTACTTTATTTAACTTATCCCCAAATTTAAACATTCTCAAAGTATGTATACAATTTTGTCTATTGCCTACCGAAACTAGACAAATAATATTAATAGCAAATGCCTTCTTCAGATTTGAAAATGCACAGTAAGATAGACTCTAGATCTCCTGCTCAAATCTTGCAGCAGTTGTAAGTAACCATCAAGGAAATGCCTTTGTTGGAAGTACCAGTATGTGTTTCAGTAGAGAATGTTTAGCAGAGACATTGGGTTTACAGAAACTGATTATTACCTGATGTAAAGATTTGATGAATCTTTATGAATGATGTTTTCAGACAAATACAAATAAAATGAAAAAAGACCTCTTTATATATTGTTGAAGCACCTAGCATCGGAAACTGAACCCAGGATCATTTTTCTGGAAATTGCGTCTGTCTACAAAAGTGCATTTTAATCTAAAATGATTAAAATGCAATGTCTCTATTGATGGAGCAGGGAGGATGGAATTTTATTTGATTCCTCATTCACTCCTCATTTCTCTCCTGAAACTCTGCTTTGGAGAGTTGATGGATCCTACAGAACACTGGAGGAAGTACTATTAAGGACAAAAGAATTAAAATACCTCACTGGCCTCAGTCAGGTCAGCTTCAAGGTTGACAAATAACAGGCAGAACATGATTTTTTTTCTTCATTTTCACAGAGAAGAGTGTTCCATTCTGCTCAGACTATGCTGCCATTAAGCAGTCTAACCTCCAACCCGGCACTTGGAAATTAGAAGCGAATAGTTTGTATAAGAAATAATAATAAAATTAAAACTGTATATACAGTCCTAAGCTCTTTATTTAAAAATAAACATTAAAAGTAAATGAATACTTAAAATGTAAATATTCTGAAGTAGTTTGCATTAGCTTGAAAAAATTGAGATCAAAAAGGGATTTTTTTCAACACAAACAATGACTCAAAATGTCACTTTACAGATATAAAGATTAGCTCCAATTTATATCCACTTATCTTGGGGCAAATCTTATTTAGCATATTTGGGCTTCTGCATGGAAATTTACTGTGCTAGGGAATTGTATGAAGAAAATTTGAAAAAGAAGTGTTGGAAAATGGAAAATATATAATTATTGGATACAATGCAGTAGTACAATTTAGAAAAGAATAGAGATGTTTTTCTGATATAATCCACAATTCCTCATATGGTTTGGTTTAGTTATTTGGAGGTCAGCCTATATGATTTCATCTTACAGAGTGGGAAAAAACATTCTATCCCTAGATCAGGAGTGTCCAACCTTGGCAACTTTAAGACCCATGGACTTCAACTCCCAGAATTCCCCTCCCAGGTTTTTTAAATCCACAGGTCTTAATGTTGCCAAGGTTGGATACCCTGGCCTTGGAGCCTAAAGCCATCTGTGTTAGAATTACTGCCAACAAAGTCACTTGCATCGGGTGAAGTAAAAAAAAATATTTTATTTTCCATCCATAATTCTCACAAAGGTTTTGCTATGTTGCATGTTTCAGAAGATAAGACATTCCATTCCAACCACGTGTGATGTGTTTCAGGAAACAGCATATTACATTCGGCAGCAGACAGCGTTACAAGTGCAGTACAGAAAGCAAGCCAGGCTTTGAATGAGCGCGGTGAAAGATTAAGTCGAACTGAAGAAAAGACAGAGGATATGAAAAACAGTGCTCAGCAGTTTGCAGAAACTGCACACAAGGTATTCCTTTATGTTTTTATTATCATATTTAGGCTTCCTTTCTCTGTTGTGTACAGTCATGAATCAAATAACATTCAATTTAAAACAATACTATTGGTATGAATTGGGTTGCAAAGAGATAACTTAATATGGATATGAAATATTTTCAAATATTGTCTTTATTTTTTTTCTTATAATTTCGGAGAGTGCCAAACAGTTGTATAAAAGAGCTGTGACAGATTTAAGGTCCAACTATTAGCTAAGTTGGCACTGAAGGAAATACAACATTGTATTAGATATTGCTCCCTCAGTATTAAGATCAGCTGATGTGGCCCCACATCAAATCAAATTGCTTTTAAGAATTTCCAGCTTGACACAAAATACAATTGAGCCTATGGATTCATTGAATCTATTCTTACATGCAGTTGTCATCTGAAAATGGATGGCTCTTGGATTTAAAGTTGTTTTATTTCAAATGAGAATTTAACCTAAAAGCCATTGGGTATCTCAGCAGCTGTCTGCTCTAAGAAAAACTGATTGCTGTTGAACATGCTTTCCTTTAAGAAAACAGATCCACTCTTGTTTATATGTCATTTAAGTGGCCACTCATATAATCCTGAAATTCCTCGGAGAACACTTTAAAAGTCACTGCTTCATAATAAATAATAAGAGTCCTAAGGAATGAAGCAATAGTGATAGCCGTTTGTAGACTTTATGAAATACTGAAGAACATTTTTATGGAGTAATTTAAATAGGATAGGTCTGGATTTAAGGGGCTGTTTTATAGCATTCTTCTTCATTTCACTTATTGTTATGTTGTTTTCTATGCTGCGTTCAAGTAGAATATTATAAGATACAATTCAGGAACTCCACTGATCAAAGAAAATGTCTTTTATTATTATTTTAGATTGCTCCTTCTTTTAGGATATCCTTGGCATCAGAGGCTGCCACTACAAGATAATTATTTTGGATTACAATCAATTAAAAAACAGCATCTTCCTGCTGTTTTCATTGTCTAATGCTGCTAGACAATTTAATAACTGGTTCTCTGCCCTAATGATTTCTTCCAACAACCGGTTTGCCAAATTACTTAGAAACTTAACAACCAGTTCTCCCGAAGTGGTGCGAACTGGCTGAATCCCACCACTGCCGATAGAGTATTAGAATTATTTAAAGTAATTCTTGCATCTCGTATTATTATAAAGAACGTATCTCACAGTGCTTGCAAATATCAAGCATTTCATTTTACTGCGTTATATTTTCAAAAAATCATAAAGTTGGAAGATAACTCAATGAAAATCTATTTCAATCCCATGCTTAGTGCAGAATCCAGTAAAGCATCTCTCACAATTGACTATCTGTATATGTTTGAAAATTTCTGTAGTTCGCAGATCTTATAGGCAGGACAATCCTTCTGATGGCTAGCTTGAATCTGTTCTCTCATACTTTTAACTCATCAGTCATCTGGGTCAGTACAGAATAAGTCCACTGCCTCCCCTGTGTGATTATTCTTCACATATCTGAAGTTATTATTATATATCATCATTTCTGTAGGTTAAATCTATATGTTGTAGATGCTTTAACTATTCTTCATAGGACTTGGTTTATGATTCATAGTAGCTGCCCTCTGAACTTGTTACAACTGGTCACTGTTCTTTTTGAACCATGCTTGCAGACTTAGACACAATGGATCAACTACAAATGGTGGTATTGCTAGATATTTTCACATGGGGGTCTTACCAGGAGAAAGCAAAATGGAACAATTACTCATGATCTCAATGTCCTTGTTAATAACATTTTCCTTTTTAGCAGCTGCATCATATTACCAACTTATATTTGATTTGCAGCCACCCCAGATACCTGGAGTCCGTTAACACATATTACTACCAAGCCAGGTTTTCCCCATCCTATATTTATGCCTTACATTTTTGCCACTCTGATATATAACATTTTCTACCTTTAAGAATATAAGCAGTGCCACCTGCTGGATCAGATCCCTGGCCAATTTAGTATAGCAGTCTGTCTTCACAATAGCCAACTACCTACACAAAAGTACCCAAGTCTCCTCACAGAGGCCATCACACTTCCATCAGGACTAAATAACCATTGATCCCCATGATTTCCATGAATAGATCCAACTCATTTTTGAAGCCAAGCAAGCTAGTAGTAAGTGCCACATCTTATAGTACTAAATTCCAAACTTGAATTATATGTTGTGTAAATTTCATCCTAATTCATTCCAACTCATTGTTCAAACCGGTGTAGATTTGTTTGTATCTTTACTTTGTGTTCTAAAGTATTAACTATCCCTTCCAGCATTGTGCCATTGGCATCATTCATTTATCTTCATCATTAGTTATAATATTACAGTACAGAGCCTAGGTCAGAGATGTGTGGTACTCTGCTTGATAATTCCATCCAAGTTGAAGTGAAGGCATTAACAAGCACTTATTGCGGGTAGTCATTCAGCTAACTCTGAGTCATATGACACAAGTATCATCTAACCCATATTTTACATTTTTACTAAGAACGGTATCAGGTGCTCTTTGGAGGCTTTCCTGAGATCCAGGTACACTATTTCTAGGGTAATTTCAGCCAATAATAAAGAAGGACATAAGGTTAATCTGGTACAATTTCTTTGCAACAAGCCTTTGCTGTCTCTTTCTTGACAACTTGTTCAAAGATCTTATGTAGTCTTCAAATCTATAGTTTCCTAACTTCTCCTTTCCCTTTAAAAAAATAAGAATATTTGCTCTCTTCCAGTCTTCTTGGACTATATGAGTCCTCTAGGAACTCTCAAAGACATCAAGAGTCACTCTGATCTGCTAGTTCCTTTAGTATATATTTCTAACATATCCTCAAAACTTTTTTTTTCCTTTCCTCGATCTTTCATATAAAATTGTTTCTTAGAACAAACATTATTGAAGAGTATACTGGCCTTATAAAACTTCATAAATTGGGATAGTATTAATTAAAATTCCCTGTCCTCAATGATGGGAATATCTCCCTTGGCACCCAAAGCAGTAAAAGAGGAAGTAAAGGAGAAGAAAAAGAGATCCTCAATAAATAAGTGCTGTGCTTTTCTTGAATCTTTAATATTTACAGCCAAGTCTGAATCATAAACATCGCTGATGAGATGACAGCTCCTCAAGCAATATGGCATGTGTTTAGATGGCTAGAGATAGAATTGGCATTCACTGGCAAATGTCAATGTTTTATTAATAGAATTAACATTATGAAAAAGTAGCCAATTTTCAAAGTGTGTCACTTGATATTCTTCAAGCATCTAAAATTACTTGTTATTTCTGTCACAAAATATAGTGGGTAAACTGAATCCTGCTGGAGTGCAAGATGTTGGGACTGTTTTCCCTATATGGCCTGTATGTCCTTATACTTTATATTTCATTGCCTTGTGTCAAGCGCCAGGGAAATCAGGAAATCGAGACAGTTCAAATGAATACAAAGGTTTATTGCAAGCTTAAGCTCTCTACAAGAATCTGAACTACTAACTGTCAAAGCAAATTGGCAGTAGATAAGAGTCTGTGGAATTCAAAATGGGCTGGGCTTAGATCTCTTGTAGACATGAAGAGGCTCAAGATTATGCATTTGATCCCTCCTTCGGGCTCAATCTAGTCATCTCCTACATTCTGTGTTATAAAGCCACCCTTTCAAAGAAGAAAAGACCTATCTATGACTATGTTCTCTAGTTTCTTAGTTTAATTATGAGTCTTCCCACTTTTTATCCCCATAGAATTTTCTTCTTAAGCACTTAGAGTAGAACCCAGCTCTATATTTCCATTAGCAGAAGCAGTTTCAGCTACCAGAATGGGACATAATTTTGCCCTTTCTTCTGCCTTTCATGTTCATTGGGTTGATGGCATTATCTAACATCTTATCCTTTGCCATCTCCTTCTCCTTTTGTCTTCTGTTCTTCTCTGCATCAGGGTCTTTTCTAGTGAGTCTTCTCATGTCATTAGATGGCCAAAGTATTTGAGCTTCAGCATCTGGCATTCCAAAGAACAGTTGGGGTTGATTTCCTTTAGGATTGACTGATAATGATCTCCTTTCAGTCCAAGGGACTCTCGAGAGTTTTCTCCAATACCAATACTTAACCTTCATTATGACCCAACTCTCACAGCCATACATTACTACCAGGAAAACCATAGCTTTGACTATACTGACTTTTGTCAGCAAGGTCTCTGCTTTTTAGTAATCTGTCTAGGATTGCTTTCTTCCCAAGAAACAAGCATCTTTTAATTTCTTGGCTTCAGTCACCGTGTGATGATAATACTGATACAAAATATATTGGCGACTGAAATACACAATTACAAAGCAAGATTGTTGTTTCCAAATAAACACCTATTTGCTTCCTATAATTATATTTCCTATAATTTAGTTATGGATATGTATTGAAGAAAAATATTCAAAATCTCTTAATATTTTAGAACATTTTTGAGATGCAGATTATTTGAGACACATCACACAATTGATAATTAAAATAACAGAGTTAGGGTTTTCCTAGTTCATTTTACAATCACATAATATAAAAAAGAAGAAGAAAAATCCATTTTAGACCAACTTGATGTCTAACTGGATATGCAGGCTTGTGGCACGGAAACTAGAAGAGAAATACATGTGAACAGGATTCAAACTATGCCTGTATCTTATACTGCCTTAGAGAATTCTATAGGCAAAATTAATAATCATCAGACACAAATGTCAAATAAATTTGTTATTTCTTTCTAAAAAAAAAGAAAAAAAGAAATAGAAGTAAGATAATTGTTTTAATACTGTAGTCTATTAAAATGCCTTGCTTCAAAAGAAATGGCAAAAATGCTATGAGACATCCTCAACTCCTAATCGCGCTCTTTAAATGTTGTAATGAGATCTTAGATTGCTTTATACTAGGTGGCTGCATGTCAAATTAATTTTGCAGTTAAGCAGGAGAGATGTGGTGAGAGTTATTTCCTGGCACCTCTCAAGAATAATCTGTGCTGTGTAGATGTAAAATAGCCAGACGATCCCTTGCCAATATAACTCAGGCTGATAATTGAAAGATGCAGCTGTTTACTTGCCATCTACTCTGGTATTTCAAATATTCTCCACATAGAAGAAAAGAAAAGTATTGTGGTAGATGGGAATGGCTCTTCTTTAGCCTACAAATGATCCTGGTTCATTCTCAAACACCTGAAATTGGAGTCAAACAGACGAAAAAGGATTGACTTCACATACAGCAAGTAAATGCAAGAATTAATATCTGATAGTTCCAGGAATTGATGCAAGGATTCTACTTTAAAACATATACCAGACAACACAGCTAATACTGAATTAGATGGGAAAATGTATTGTATACAGTTCTGGTAATTATAAGAAGCATCCCTTCAGCTTTTAGCATTACTTTGAAAAGACTCCAAGCCTATTCTCAAGGCCAAATATTAAAATATGTGAACACTGTGTATTATTTCCATCACTACTGCTTACAAAACTGGCAGCTTTCCCAAGAATCTGTACATGTTTTGGATCCTTTGGGTGACTGCATTCAGAAAATCCTTCAAAGGATAGTTTGGGAAAATGTGATTATGACAAAATGGGTTTTTTTTAAATCTTTCCTTGACCCAAAGGATTGAATCTGAATAACAGTTACAGAGTTGGAAGGGACCTTGGAGGTCTTCTAGTCCAATATCCTGTTTAAGCAGGAGACCCTATACCATTTCAGACAAATGGCTGTCCAAACTCTTCTTAAAAACCTCCAGTGATTGAACACCCACAACTTCTGGAATTAATTGTTCTGTCAGGAAATTTATCCTTAGTTCTAGGTTGGTTCTTTCCTTGATTAGTTTCTATCCATTGCTTCTTGCTCTGCTTTCAGGTGCTTTGGAGAATAGGTTGACTCCCCTCTTCTTAATAGCAGCCCCTTAGTTATTGGAACACTGACATAATGTCATCCCTAGTCCTTCCTTTCGTTAAACTAGACATACTCTCAATTCCTGCAGCCGTTCTTCTTTATTTCTTATGTGAATCAAACTGGTACCCTGAAGCATCCTGATCTTGAAACTATGGTTTGTACTACATTTGCACCATAGAGTTAGATGTAATTTGCATTAGCTCTGTGCTTGCACAAGAGGGAAGAAAAAGTACTCTTCCTTGCTTCAGTATAGTGTTTCTTTAAGTTAGAATTGGCTGTAAAATATCTAGAAACCAATGTGTTTTTAAACAGCACTTGAGATTGTTATAATTCAGTATTGTTTAGCACTAATAATGTTTCTTTCTTTATCCTATTTAATTTTCAGCATGTTTGAACTGCCTTTCAAACAGAGTACAAGTAGTCCTCGACTGATGACCACAATTGTGCCCAAAATTTATGTTGCTAACTGAAGCGTTTGTTAAGTGAATGTTGCTCCATTTTATGACCTTTCTTGCCACAGTTGTTAAGCAGATGTTCAGTTACTAACTGAACAACTTTGTTAAATGTTAAGTAGTTGTTAAGCGAATCTGGTTTCCCCATTGACTTTGCTTGTCAGAAGGTTACAAAAGGTGATCACATGATCCCAGAACACTGCAACAGTCATAAATATGAGTCAGTTGCCAGGCATCTGAATTTTTATCACGTGACCATGGGGATGCTGCAAAGGTGGTAAGTGTGAAAAATGGTCATAAATTACTTTTTTCAATGATGTTGTAATTGTTGCAAGTCAAGGACTACCTGTAAACCAAACTAGATGCCTTACTTTTATTTCAATGACATCAGCTTTTAATATAATAGGCAATACAGACGTCCCACGACAAGACAAAGTTTAATTTTCATTACAGTTCTGCAGACATGATTCTATTTTGCTTTCTATTTTCAGTATTTTCAAATCGTAAGAAATCAAGAGTTGTGGCTAGAATTGCAGATATCTTAATAGGTTCTCTTCTTTTCCCCCTCTGCAGCTTGCCATGAAACACAAGTGTTGAAAACGACTGTGTGGAGATCTTTCTGAACGGAACTGCAAAAATAGGATTGCCCATTTTTAGTGAAAATGCAAGTCTGTCTCTTTTTTCCAACAATTTGGTAATCAGTTCCAATTATCATGTAGGAAATTAGTATTCCTACTTTTTCTATTGCTAGGCCATTCAGTGTCTGTCTTTTTTTAATATTTAAAATGAGATGGTGTTAATATGTAAATTGGACCAAAGGATATACTAAACTGCACTGAACTGCAAGAATCTATTGTTCCCAATATTGTGTAGGAATACAGTACTGTAGCTGCAAGAAAAGTGATCAAGTGACAGTGAAATCCAGTAATTGTTATAAAATAGTTTCTTGGAGCAAATTTTGAAGTAAACGTATTCATAACTTATATTATGAAGTGTTCATAACTTCTATCACAGGGCAACAAAAATAGGTTGCTATGAAAAACAGCTTGACTTCTCAGTTCTACCATTTTTAGCCAACTTATTTTGCACGTGTCATCACTGGCATGGTGAATTTGAATTTGAATTGTCCATCAAGTTGTCAACACTATTTTTTAAAAAAATCTTTTTTCTTATGGTCTGAGTTTACTTTAATGTTACCAAAAACACACTAGAAATGTTAAGGAAAGGCTGATTAAATTGATAAATACGTCAATATTTTATCTGGAATTTAACTCTTACCTTTGTAAATGGAAAAAAATGTCCTTCTAAATAAACATTATATTGAAACTGTTTCAAGAAATAATACATGCACAAGCACTATTGTAAGTTTTTGGAATTCTTCTATTGATAGGCATGCTTCAATTTTATTACTTAAAGTAAGACTTACTAGAGTTTTCCTTAATAGTGTAATCTGGACCTGTGAAGACCAAAATTCAGTCTATTTGCAGTCACTGGATCATAATCATACATTCATTATAATTAACATTATTTACAATAAAATATACATTTCCACTTTATAAAACCATTTTATAAAACACAAAGTTTTCTTGTTTTGCCAAAATTTGCCAAATTCCCTTAAAACAAATTTTACATGCATTGAAGCCTTCTGGATTATTCCTGGTTTTCATCTTTCCAATGCTAGTCTGGAGAACTGACATTGAACATTCAGTCTAGATGGTTATGTCAGATTTGTCAGCACACAGTAATTGGAGTGGTAATGTAGAACCATTAACTTCCAACTTTGTGGGGGGGGGGAGAGATAAGCTGATTAGGAAGCTTTTTCTCCGGTTAGCACTGAATTTATGTCAGACCTAAGAAGATGAATGCACAAACAATGCTTAAACAGCCCCATAATGAATCTATGCAATTCTGGATAGAATCATGGGCATGCATAGCCTGTTACATTCCCAAAAAACTTTTAAAAGCTTGAAATTTTCAGTGTTTGAAATTCAAATGTCTAGGTCAAAAAAAAAAAAAACCCTTATACCTACAGTGTCTAATATTTTTTCAAGGGGGACAATTAGAATAGCAATATAAGGCAGTCTGGAGGATACTTTGAATAGAGTGGTAAATCTTATGGGAAGGCACTTTTATATTCTCTCATGTTTGTATAATTATGAACCAAGCAGGGGGAAAACAGTTTTAGTATAGGTAAAGAATTAAATCAGTATGGAGAGAAGGCATCCAGTTAACTGCATATTGTATGCCATCATAATGTAAACATTTTATAGGCTCTATTTATCTTTGCCGGTAATTTACTGATTGATAACAGCCCAGATTTGACAACTGCATGGACTTCCATCAGTATGGTCTCTATAGCATATTGTGGGCTACATTCGATTATAAGTTTACATAGAATTTGTTTTTATTTCCTTTGTTAAATCATTTTTAATGTATTGTTATTATTTATTTTGCACATTTTTTAAAAAAAAATCATCTCGGTGATGAAACCGGCTTTTTGTCAATGCAGGAATTTTTTGTTTTTTTACATGCCAAAAAATAAAACTCTCAAGTCATTTCATCAACTTGATACATTCAGAAACTAAAACCTAATTTCTGTTTCTACTATTAAGTAAATTTAAGTTAGGTGTTGTTTTCTTAGGATAATTAGAAGCAAATGTGCTTATACTGAAAATAAATGTGATTGTATTAAAAAATGTCCTCCTGGAAAATTGATGTAGTAGTCAATTATAGTGTTAGATATTTATGTACATAAATTATACAGTAATTCAGGTTAATATTTCATATTAAAATGTATTTGTAAAAAGTAGCAAGATCAATAGTTTCATTATCATCTTTTTAAAGTTCTGCAAAGAATAAAAAATCAGAAGTTATTAGACCTAAGATAGTCATACCTGCAAGATCAGTCTCATTCTGTGGCTAGCAACATGTTGTACATTAATGTGAAAATATTCAACAAAATTGGCTCTCTAAATGAGTGAACCTAAAACACATTTAATTTTAAAATGAAGGTACTTTGCTCCATTGTTATATTTCACAAACATTGTTTTTGTCATTTAAAGTTTTAGCCATTAATTAAAATATACTTTTGTATCAATGATAGACAACCTTAAGGTGGTATATAATTCCCATACCTATTTTTGCAACCATCTAGAAGGACCCCTCCTTTTGAAATTCACTTTTGCTAATCTACCAAGTTAAGTTTTAAAATAAATGTGTTAATGCTTTGGGAGGTTCTTGTACTACTACTGCATTACTTCCTCCCAGGACTACTATCCTCCCCATTTGAAAAAGGGCTGAACATTTCTTCTCACAGACTCTGCTGTTGTCCCTGCACAACTATCACATTCCCTGTGGCCCTCCGATGCCAGAAAACAGATACAGCTCTTAGTGAAAGGGGAAGATAGCTTTAATGAGTTACCGGTATATATGAAAGCATATCTTGAATGCATATGTTAGCTATCATGACTGTTAGGTCTCATTGCCATAATTTACCATAAGATGGCCATTGCAACAATTGACCTTACTGGTTTCAAGTAGCTTCAAACTCATCATAATGCACAAAACTACATGAAGTGTGTGGCTGATTCAGCTTTTTCTTTGCCTTAGATCCAGTAGGGCCAAGATTTCTGCCTGTGGTTACTAAACAAATAGTGTGATTCTGCATCTACATTTCTTATTTAAAGTGGACATGGACCATTTACCTGGACCTCTAAATGATCTCTATGGATTATGTGCAGAAGTGATCCCCTTCTGTTTTTCATGACTTACACTCTGTGCATAGGCTAAAATGTCACCATGATTTTATTTTACCTGCATAGTATATAGAAGGCAAGTTATACGAGGAGGGTTTGCACACACATATTAAATACAAACTGAGGCATAGCTGTACCTCGGCAAACATATCACATGTGCAAATAACCTATGTGTTTTTATGTTGTGCGCGTATATATACTTGCATACCATAGCTTTTCTAAGTTTCATCTGTCCTATTTAGAGATTGCCTCTTGTGGAACCTTAGCTTTAATTCTTCCTTCCTTCCTTCCTTCCTTCCTTCCTTCCTTCCTTCCTTCCTTCCTTCCTTCCTTCCTTCCTTCTTTTCTTTCCTTTCCTTTCCTTCCTTCCTCCCTCCTTCCTTCCCTCCCTTCCTCCCTTCTTTCCTTCCTTCTGGCAGAAGTGCCTAATAAAATATTAACATATTAAAGGCCCATAAGGAATCAGCCATTTAAACGGAAGATTTCATGGCTCAACTTACTGTATATATGCCTTAACAAAATGTTTTACACAATGCTGGCCATGGGTTTTGATCATTACTTCAGAAAGATGACTGACTATGAAGAATGTAATTATATTCTGTGGCCTGATAATGTGTGCAGTTTCTTGTAGAAAAACTTTGTTGTTCAGCGTTGTCATATTTTGCTTTGCTTGGTTCAGAATTATTTTGTTTTTCTTATATCTGTATTGTAAATATTCATTTTGCTAAAAGTATATTTAGCCATATGCTGCAGGCACATTATTAAGTTGTTTCAGCCATATACTCTCTCAAAAGTTAAAAACACTGTAGTTATAATTGTTCCCAGGACCTACATCACATTGCTGAAAGTTGAGAATGCAAATTGCAGTCCCTCTCTTAGCCTAGGACTATCTGGACTCATCGATTGAGATGCTGGTTGTATACAATTTATATTTTGGCAACATTAGAATTTATTATATGCAATATTTTGGTTTTCATTGTACTGTATGTAATTCATATCAAATTGTACAGTTACGATTCAGTTTTCATAATAAATATTTTATTAAATATGTGAATGTTGAATTTTACTTATAAATGTGTGATGAAATTTGTTTAAATTGTAAACTGGATTATTGGGGGAAATGGTAATTATAAATTATACAGTACATTGCAATCATCCACAAAAAACAACTTTCTAGGCTGAAGGTCACCGTTGGCTTTTGAATGTCATGATAAGAGACACATTCCCAAGGATAGTTTGGTAGGATGAAAATATACAGTTAAATATAACATTAAATCAAAATATAGTTTATGTAATTTCTCCAGTATGTTCAATTCCATTAACAATTTTAGTGCAATTAAAAACTTTTGTTAATGCTCTGACATTCCCAAGAAAAGTTTTCAGGGGTTGTTTGTAAACATGGGGGCCTGCAGAGGAATCAAAATGGCTATACCAGCAATCAAAGCCCCATGAGCAGCACACACATTGCACACAAGCAAAGAAGGGAATGGAGCTTCCATTCATCATATGGTCACATGCAACATTCCCTCATTTTTTTGACAGCCTACAGATACCACTGGACATAAAACTTATATTTCTGCCATCCTGAATTAAACTATGTCAGATTATGGGACAGTTTTTTTTTTTAAGTATTCAGGATTTTTCTGGACCAGCAACAACCACTTTCAGTCTTTGAGGACTTTTTATATACTTAACTCTGAAGACCATACTCTGTAACAGAATTTATTTTCATTAATTGTTATTTATATGGAAGTTTTTAAACCATGTTTGCTGGCCAGACATTGTGAGATTAGTAACTACATTAATAGAATGCAATACATAAATACATAGGCTTCCATAACATAATTTTCAGTCCCCACAGTCTTTTCATCTAAGTCATTTTCATCTTTCTTAAAATGATAGAATCTATAGGCTAGCTTCTTAGGCCATGGGGGACAGGGGTAGACCACAACTACATATCTGAGTTTTTGTAATAGGGCTTTTGTATTTTGATTGAAAAATACAATTCTAGCAAAATAATCAAATCCCCTCCTCCCCCCCAAAAAAGAATTAAGTGAACCCTGACAAGGAGGTTGTTTGACACAGGAACCAGAACATTCTGAGTCCATTATTAAAAGGACCTGATGAATTATTTGCTGGTACAACCCAGAAAACAATATGGCTACTCTGATCCTTCAATGGTCCGAGGCGGTACAGTGGTTAGAGTGCAGTACTGCAGCTTCTTCAGCTGACTGCTAGTTCAGCAGATCAAATCTCACCGGCTCAAGGTTGACTCAGCCTTCCATCCTTCCGAGGTGGGTAAAATGAGGACCCAGATTGTTGGGGGCAATATGTTATTTAGTATACTGTCTTTGGTGAAAGCCACCCAGAGTCCTCGGAGAGTGGGCGGCATAGAAATAATAATAATAATAATAATAATAATAATAATAATAATAATAATAATAATAAACCTGTTGCCAAAGAGTAACAGAACACAGAGAGAAAAAATGTGTGCCTTGACAATTACACATAACTTTTTTTTGTTTCAAGGCAATTCATCCTTTCACAAATTTGTTCATTCTCTTCTGCTGTTTTAGTTGATTTGGAATTTGCACATGAGCAATTTGTGATTTGTTCCACCATCAGGCCCTGGCTATGTTTTTGCTGTTATAATTGAGTTCTTTTGCTTTCTTGTTCCAATTCTGTAGTCAATTTGATTTCTACAGTATATACTTTACCTGATGACATCCATTTATTTAAGCATAATTTTGTTAGAAGACTGTGTTAGCAATTAAGAAATCATTGGACTGGCAGAATTTGATAAGTCATTCTTTATTTCAGCTTCCAAAGCCATAGAATCCAAGTACATTTTCCTCCTTAATATCTCCATTGTTAATATTCCATTCTCTAACCACAAGCAGCACAACTTGTTTGTATGTTCTATCAATTTCATCCTACCCTCCCTGGAAAATACACACTGAGTACTGAAAATTAGAAAACAGTTGTATGCTTCCTTCTAACTCAAATTTCTCCAGCATCCATGAAAATAGTATAACCAGCAAAGCAGCAGCCAGCAGGGCCATTTCTGCTTAAGATGAACCTTGTCCCAAATTCTGGGTTGTTCAGATTTGTAAGATGTGTATCTCTCTGCTGCTTTGTGCTGCCATAATACTTCTGCAAATAGTAGTTCTGGTGTTGGGAGCCAGTTAAATGTCCCGAATAATGAGCCTTTAGCTCTCTGATGACAAAATCATGTGGTTTCAAAATTAATGCCATCCCCTGTGAAACTGGCAATCTGAACAAACAAGAACTACTTGGATTTCTGGAAAAGACTTGCTAGGAGTGTAACAATCTTAAAAGCCTTCTAAAGCAATTTTTCAGATCATCTTATATATAGCGTAGCTAAAGTGGAGTTATTCTACATCTCTTTGTCACCCTTCACCCTTTGTCTGGGTTGAGGTGTCTGTTTTGCAGTGACACTGTTATGTTCCCCATGTTTGACATTCCAATGACAGTTGCCTCTCTTCACAAGAAACCATTTGCTGCATAGTTCTTCTGGTAATGTGCCAAAGTGGAAGCTGCCCTTCAAACTCCATACCGTATATTAGCAGGAGCTGATTTTGATGGCTTTTAGCAGAGTTGCTCATTCAAAAGAAAAGTGAGATGACTAATGCCTGTTATGAGTCTATAATATATGCATTAACAGAAGAAGCTCAGTGGGCCATATGGAGGGATTATACAATATTTCTGTGCTTTTGTGCCTCAGAGATAACCAAGAACTTCCTGCTTTATTCAGGCAATCCATCTATAGTAGTAGCTGCTTTGTAATCTCACTTGCATTGTTTAATTGATGAACTCCATGAAGAAACCCTTTTAGTTTGTACAAGAAGACACAGAGCCAAGCACATTAAAAGAAAAACCCTGAGGGTATTTCCAGCCAGGTCTTTTCATCATGCAACTATAATGCTGTCCAGATGTCATCTTCCATTGTTACCTATAATGTATTTGCCCTTCTTCCTTTCTGCAAAATACATACATATAAATATACATACATACATACATACATACATACATACATACATACATACATACAATGTGTTATGGGAAGAACATGGAATTGTCATATAACGCCTTAATTTGTTGTACTAGACTTTTCCATCTAGAAACATCGCATCATTCTATTACATAGAATCTGTTCTTCTTAATTAGAAATACATGTCTAAGTGCAATGTGAAATGTTTAATGTGACATGTTCCCCAGCGAACAAAGATATATATCTTGCTTTTAAACACTATGGATCTTTCATTAATGTGCCATTCTTTCCAAGTGTAAATAAAATTACATAATTATTCTTTAAAGTATGGGCTGAAACTTCAGGAATTAGGAAGTCAGTGACATGCAAGTGAAATGGGCAATAGCAGTGGCCCTTAGACCTATTTACTACTTCATAGTGCTTTATAGTCCTCTCTTAGCGGGTTACAGAATCAGCATTTGCCCCCAACAATCTGGGTCCTCATTTTACGGACCTCGGAAGGATGGAAGGCTGATTCAGTCAGGATCAAATTCATTACAGCAGTAAATTAGCCTGCAATACTGTATTCTAACCACTGTGCCACTGTGGCTCATAAATTCAGCTACATAAATTCAACTTTTGAGTCCATATGTATGTGTGTGTGTGTGTGTGTGTGTGTGTGTGTGTGTATGATTGAGGCCTTGCATTGCAATACATGTTTACTCAAAAGAAGCCAGCCTTATTTACTTCATTTGGACTTATTAGGTAAGTGGAAGTACAATTTCAGCCTTAATTATATTGAAGCAAGAAATAAATTAATCCCACAGTGCTAAATTAACTCCATGCCGCTAGCTAGCACAACCATTTTTTTTCTTGTCTTGTAAAAATTCCATCTACCTTCAAATGAGACTTTCTACTGAAGCTGTAAAAAAAAGTTGGGTTATCACCTTTCCCTTTTAAACCCATTTTTTAAATTCACAGATCTGTTCTCCACTGAAGTTCTGTGAAAATATGGCACAGTAATTTTAATTGCTGTAAATGGCTCCTGAAACTAGCGCAGTATAAAAAACTGCTGTCAGGAAAGTCAAGTAAGTTTTCCTGACCCAAAATGCAATTTATAGCTGAACTATAAACATTTAGACACAAGGAACTTTGGGGTACCAAGAGCTGGGAACAGTTCTAGGAAGCAAGGCTATTGGGAGATAATACTTATGGAAAATAGTATGTTAGTATTAACTCTTATTCAGAGAACATAACCTCTCTGTAATTCAGTCAGCTATTTTCTCCATAGTGCCAAACTTACTTCATTATTTTTATCTCATCACCAAGCATATCCAATCAAGCTATGTTGCTATAACCATTACTACATATATATAGTATGTATTGCTATGTATATTACAATCAGCGAAAGTCTGTGTAACAGCATTCCATCTCTGCCTTTAGGTTTAGCTTCTGCTCCCTCTGGTGCCATAATAAACAATTTGTGCTTCAAAGCAGGTATATGCTGATCTCCCAATATAAACTGACGAGTTATGGAGGAAGTGTGTGAGAAATTTCTCCTACATTATTTTCATTAGTGATAGGGCTGCATCACCCTACTATCTCACTTGACTTTGCTTCTGCACCAAATTCAATATCAATTTTTCATGAAAGAAACAGACAGTGCTATCAAAACTCAGAAGTGAGAGGTTTTCCCTGCAGACTCATTTATTCAGAATGGATTTTTGCTTGAGAAAAGAATATATGAAAAGACTAGCTGTAGAATATAAACAACACGTGCGGTATACAGTATATCCATGAAACTTTGAAAGTATGCTAACATTAGAGAGAATATCGAATTCCTTCATCTGTGTTTTATCATTTTTATTATTCCCTTGTTGAAATATGGAATATTTGTTTGCAAAACATACATTGCTAAGGAAATGGAGAATTCAGTAACTAAAATACTTAGGAGTTGTAGCCAAAACATCAAAATGACACCAGATTGGGAAAGACTGCGGTATAGTTATTCCTCAGTTTAAAAACAGATGAAGCCAAGGATCAGAATGAAAAGTTGTACCGCTGTTACCAACCCA